AAATCGTTACTGTGTTATTTAAAAGCGAATATCTTTTATAAAAATAAAGCCTTTGGGATAAACAAACAAACAATCGGAAAAAACGTACCTAGATAATAAAATTATGTTTAATTTCCTTGCTTCGCTAACATATTCCACGGGGTGTTTCAAACATTCACCAAAATATCATCATTCTGTTTTCCCTCGAATAATTGACAGATGGAAAGGTTCATTTTTAATTTAGAAAGAAATACTAAAAACTCAAATAATTTAGGTATAAATAGCTTAAAAAATCATCAAAAATATATTATATTTTAAAATGCATCAACATTTTAAGTTGCCCGTTTTTCGTTCCTGTGAGTGTCGAGGTACAATTTTATACAGTTTGTTTAAAAGCCTAGATGCACCAAACGCAAGAAAATATATTAAACGTGTTCATGAAAACTTGTAGTTTTACTTTTCACGTGTATGCATCGTATATTTACTTGCACACTTTGTTAATCTTGACTTTGGTTTAGTTGAGCAGCATATTTGAAGCATCTTACTTTTAGGAATTTATTACAATAATCCTGAAGTTAGGGCGAGGTTGTGTTCAGCAATAAGACGGCAACCATCGAAAAACTTAACAGATTTATTTTTTGAAAAATATAAATTTTATGATTGTATAAATAATAAATATATATAATATAAATATATTTACTTAATTGTCATTGGAATAAAAAAGAATATGTCTGTAAAAATATATTAAGAGTGTATGCATGGTATTTAGGACTCGAACTCCATACTGTATTGGCCAGGTTCTGTCTTATTGCTGAACGCCTGATGCACATGTAGGGCAATTTTTTCTAAACATTTTTTTTCTTTAATATCAAATAATGATCCCGAAAAAGAACTATGAGACGTTGATATTAAAATCGTTTATTCTTGTAAATTTTTCTGTGCACTACAAAAGAGGAGGAAAAAACCCTACATGTGCGTTTTGGTAAAGAGGTAGTGAACTACCCAATTTGATAAAGTGTATGATTATATAAGTTTGCCGACTGCCCTTGCCTTCAATGTTTGGACAGGACTCGTTTTTGTGCCATATTTTCATTAATTTTTCGTACACTCAACTCAACCCATTCAATTAGTTCGCAACAAACGAAATAAAAAAATAGATTTGTATAGTTTATATAATTTTTCGGTGATGATTTCTGTAACGTTGTAGTCAAACATTTTGTCAAGTTTTCACGTTCACATTATGTCTTATAGACATAACTAATGATATACTATTGTTTATTATTAATTAATATGTATAAGAATAAACTAATGATGTGATGATGATCAGTAGATCATACAACAAGGGGCTTTTAGGCCCTTCATTTTCTGAATATAGTAGAGATAATAAACCATTATGTGAAATATTAATGTATTTTTATTTCTATACATTAAAACCCTCAAGAAGTATGTAAAAAAATAAATGATGTGTGAGAGTTACAAAAACCGTCTTACGGTCAACTTTCGTTTAGCTGAAATCAGTTATTAGAAAAAAAAATTGTCTTTAACAAGCTACTGTGAACCACGGAAAACACAAATTTTCCTGCGGAAATGCGTCATTTCCAAAGAAAATTTTAGAATAACTGAAATCTGCTTTAAAAAAATACATTTTGCGTTTTATTTTTAATATTTTTCTGAACATATAAACTCAAAAAGTAATAATAAGATACGGAAATAAGCTGTTTTCGTTTTCTAAGAAAATTTATTAGACTTTAGAATAGCTGAAATCAGTTATATAAAAAATAAATATATTTTTGCCTTTTAGAAAAGCGTTTACAAACTCAGGAAAATAACAAATTTCCTGCGGAAATGCTTGATTTTCATTTTCCATTTTTGTAAGCATAAATACATAAAAAATTATCTTTTTATCAATTTTGAACCAAAAAAAAAATCATTTAAAAATGTCTAAAATGCTAACCAATCTAATAATATTTTTACAAAATCACAGTTAATTATTATTTATATTTTAATACATAATCTATATTATATTTTAATAAATAATATTTTTTACAAGCCCAGCTTAACACCCTCCACAAAGAAAAGCTAACCAAAGCAACCCAAATGCTGACCAATCTAATATTTTTGCAAAATCACAGTTAATTATTAAAATATAAAAGAAAACTGCATGATCCAATGATTTTTTGTTTTGAATCAGCCCTATTTACGTAAAGCTTTAATAAAAAACAAGAATAAGTGCAACATTCCGAGGAACTTATAGTTTACAAGAACCTATATTATCTATTCTACAAGAATTGTTATCCTCCGAAATATGTTTTACCCCACCGGCACCCAGCACCCCTATTCGCTCCCGGGCCCCGTAAGCTTCTAAACTGAAAAATGTATGAAAAACAAAGTGCACAAAATGACATTGACACATTTCCGCAATTTTTTTGTATTTCTTTGCTCGTAAAGGCTCGTATAAAACAGATATAAGTTCATTTTTCATGTAACTATTGTAACTATTGCGGCTATTCTAAAGTCAAAGCATTTTTTATGTAAAATAAAAATAAAAAAAAATTCGCAGACACTTTTTTGTGTTTTTATGTTTAGAAAAATGTCTAAAACACACCTCGAAGACTAGTTTTGATGTAACGGATTTCGGCTATACTAAAGTCCGAAAAATCAAAATGATGCATTTCCGCAGGAAAGTTTTTGTATATTTGTACTCCTAACGCCTTCTAGAACGCATATATAAAGTCATTTTTTATATAACAGATTTCAGCTAAACGAAAGTTGAGCCCCCGTCTGCGTCTTATCCCAAAAACTTTGTTTCGAAATAATATACAAAAACTGTTTTAGCAAATGTTTGAATCGGAATCACCATTGAGTTGAATCATTGTTCTTTTACACACTACTCAAAACAATTATCAAAAAATTTGATTGCACTGCCTTAGGCTATTCGCTAACAAGCAATTTTTAATCGGCCTACCATTTATAGTTGCATATTTGTAACCAATATATCCTTATGGAGCCGCGCTCACATGCAATCTAATAGTCGCCGATCGCATCGGCTCCATAAGTATGTATTGTTTTCACTTTTGCAACTAAATAATCGGCCGACTAAAAATAACAGGTTAGCGCGTAGGCTTATTTTTTCGAATTTTCCTGCACATTATCCAAACTATTTAAAACCGTAAGTCAGGGAATTCAAAGTGTCTTATTTTTCAAATTAATATTTTTTTTTAGAAAATATGCGATAATTGTTTTGAGTCGTTAATTTAATTTTTAAAAAGAAAAAAACACAAAAATAATTCGGATAACGTGCGTTTTGTTGCAGTGTGATGATATATTGCAGGTTTTGCTACAGCAAGATACAATCTGATTGGCTGGCAGCAATGGCTATGGGAAGAATATCGCTGCTATTTTATATGCAAATCTTATATGAACTGGACGCCTTTTTTTCTGATCATACGGTATTTGCGTTCTGCTTGATTTATTAGATATGCTATTTTATTAAAATTAGTTAAGGATTTGAAATTGATAAGATGTCAGTAGTATAATTATACTTGTGTATAAAAAGCCTCTGAAAAAATGCGGGATTTGCAAAAATAATGACAATAAAAAGCAAATATAAGTGGATAAGACGGATATTGTTGCAGTAACGTAATTTGCAATAAATTTTATATAGGAATAGGCGACTTTTGCCGCAGTTTGGGACTATGCTTATATCGATATCAGGGTCTCCTATTAATATATGTCATTAGACCATTTAAAAAAAAATAACTGTGATACTGTAAAAAATAGTATTTTTTATATTGAAAAATATGCTAGTTTTACAAGTAAGACACGATATACTAAACGCAAATTGAAATTGAATTTGAAAAAGATTAAAAACAAAACACGAAAAAAATTGAATAGTATATATATATACAGGGTGTTTCAAAACAAATGCGAAAAACTTTAGGGGGTGATTCCTTGTTCAAAATAAAGGGTAGTTTGCTTTATAAACGTTGGGTCAAAAGTCAACCATTAGGGAGATATCGCGGTACAAAGATGGCGGAAAAATAATGTTTTTATTTTTTATCTTGAACACGAAAAGAAATAGACTAATGAAATTTTATTGAAACATTACTGTTATGAAAACACACTTTCTGGTAATTTTTTCATTTTTTTTAAAATGAGTGGAAGAGGTTGAAATAAACTACCCCTATCATTCTTGTTAACGAAATTTAAAGAAAAATCTTATCAAACACATGCAAATGCTTTAATTTGGATAGTTTAGTTTGTTTAGAAACTTTTTTACCTCTTGTGTTTTTTTGATAAAACTCACCGATTGGAAATTAAAAAATAAAATGTAAAGCATTACATGTCAGGATAAAAAACATTTTTAGATTAAGAATCTAGTGATAATAACGATAATAATAATCATCTAGATAATAACGTATTGCAGTAGAGTAATGTCAAATAAAATAATATTAGGAACATCCTAAAAAGTAACAGCGGCCGACTAGATTTTTTCCTAAAAAAATTACAGCAGCCCACCAGATTCTTTATCAGAAAATGTTTTTTGTCCTGGCATGTAATGCTTTACATTTTATTTTTTAATTTCAAAACGGTGAGTTTTATCAAAAAAATACAAGAGATAAAAAAGTTTCTAAACAAGCTAAACTATCCAAATTAATTTTTTTGTATGTGTTTGATAAGATTTTTCTTTAAATTTCGTTAACAAGAATGATAGGGGTAGTTTATTTCAACCCCTTCCACTCATTTTAAAAAAGTGAAAAAATTACCAGAAAGTGTGTTTTCGTAACAGTAATGCTTCCATAAAATTTTATTAGTCTATCTCTTTTCGTTTTCAAGATAAAAAATAAAAACATTATTTTTCCGCCATCTTTGTACCGCAATATCTCCCTAATGGTTGACTTTTGACCCAACGTTTATGAAGCAAACTACCCTTTATTTTGAACAAGGAATCACCCCCTGAAGTTTTTCGCATTTGTTTTGAAACACCCTGTATATATATACTCTATTAATAAAACTACCACTTAATTTAAAATTTTATTTTATAACAAATATTTTATAAAAAAAATACTACTGTTATTTGTTTTGCTCTGTAGAAAAGTTTGGAGGTAATAAACCTATCTAACAAGTTTATTTCTAAAAGTCCAGATAAGTAGAAAATTAAAGTAGCTATTTACAAGTCTTTTAAATTACTTAAACACTTCCTAGAAACGATAATATAATAAATAACTTATTTTCTAACCGAGAACCCATCTCCCGTGGGATCCAACAGCCATGGGTAGTTGTTGGGGCATTCCATACAAGTAAACAGACGCAATGTCTCACCAGGCAACTCTCTTGTCGTCAAAGCACAGGAATTTGGCAGAGAACAGTAAGGCTGCCCTTTGATATCACATTTCTCCTTCCATTCCTGGAAGTCCCTCAAACCGTTGAGTTCTGTAGGGTTCTGCATCCACTGGATAACCTGTAAGTTGGTGACGAAGTACACATCATTACGTCCCAACATCTCTTCTATGAACTTGATCAGTTCCTCTTTGAATTCCTTCTTGCTCTTGATCCAGGAAGCGTGGAAATGGAGACCTAATGGAGCACGGTTGCTGTTGAAGTGACGGTTGAAGTTATGCCTCAAGAGACGAGCGAATTGATCACCAGTTTGGATATTTGAGCAAGAGTCTACCATGTGACAACCCGGAAGAGATTCATCAAAAGTAGGGTCGTCACGTCTGTCAAGTTCGTTCATGACAATTTCCCAAACTGGATGAGACCTGGAAGGACAGTTGTGAGCGTTTCCGTTACATTTGTGGGGCATTCTGAAGTACAGGGTGTAAGGCCAGATAGGTACACGTCCCAAGGAAGCAGTTATTGAAGCGTCATAAACGAAGAATTGGTCAGTCATCATTTCAAATTGTTTGTTTCCTCCGACTCTCAAGTAAGGAGCACGCACTCCAATAATCGTACCGTCAGTAATATTAGCAAACCTCTCAATAATCAGTCTAGAACCAGCCATCTCAGCTAACCAATCATCGTAAGAACCCTGACTCCAGTAGTTAGGATCTTCTTTGTGAGTCAGCGAAAACACAGCAATTTCGTGTCCCTTCCTGTGCAAGTCTTGTACAGCAGAATAGTTGGTGTATTTGTGCGAAACAAAGTATGTTCCTCTGATTTGACAGCCGTTGGGGTTGTTTCTTTGACCGTTGAAGATTTCTTCGTAAAGGTCGATGTTGTCAACGTTGACAGCGCCATTGAATGTGATAGTTATCATTTGAGGTACGTTGGCTGGTTCAAGAGCTCCAGGAATTCTGGTACCGTCAGCTGAACAGAAGCAGTCAGGCAATGCACATTGGGTGGGGTCACAGTCTGGGGCTCTGTTAGGGTCTGTCTCGACAGCTGGGGAAAATTTTTGGTAATTTTTTGAGATTAAAACGTTTTATTTCATACTTACAGCAAGAGTTTTCGTCAGATTCATCTTTACAGTCTGGTTTTCCATTACAGAACAGTTCCTTGTCGATACATTCGCCATTTCCACAAGATAATTTTCCATCAGGGCATACTGGTTCGTCAGTTTTAAGTATGGGAAGTACTTTTCTTGGTTCTAAAAATTAATTATAGTCGTTGCGTTAGATATATTTTGGTTTGGTTTAACTTTCACTCCGGGTATCTGTACAGGTTTTTGTGTGGTTTGTGGTTTTGTAAAAATAATGCATAATCAAATGTAATTTTACTCGAAATAGTAATCTTTATATATGGTAAAATTTGAATCGTATTTTGATAATTACTAGGCAAGTTCGTTTATTGTGCATTATTTATCATTACCTTCTAAATCTGATTGGCGTTTTTTTACATTATTTACACGTTTATACACTTGTTCGAAATAGAAAGTAGACATTGTAAACAGTAAAAGGCTAAACAAGAATGGAAATGAAAGTAACACAGTAATAAGTTAGATATAATTAACACATACAAAAAAGAGAAAATTAATAGGTTAAGACAACACAAAAATACTAATTACTGATACACAAAAATAATGGTCTATGAATTGAGTAGAAACAAATATGGAGTTGTTTTATTTAGACCATGCAGATTGAAAGAAAAAAAATCATGCTTTTTACTAACATTTCTAAAGAATGAATCTACTGAATAAGAATAGAAATAAAGAAATAAATTTAGGATGGAGAAATATGGTAGAAATAGTATGTGGGTAGGTAGTATGTAGTGACTTAACGAGTGAGGTATTCATGCAACAGAATAACAAAATAGAAAACGAGTTATTGTTGTCAAGTGCAAGTATGGTGTAAATGTTGTACAATCACATGCAAAAGTAGGTTTAGTATTATTAACATACCACAGTCAAACCCTGAATCTACAGGGTGGTCCACTTTTTAGAAGGAGTACCTTAAAATAGTCGACAGTTTGGACTCATTTAAAAAAAAAACTTCATATCAACATAGTATCAAAAGTGAAGAATATTTAAAAATTGAGACGAAAGTTTAAAAAAACTAGCTTTTTTATTTTTCAATTATTTTTGGCACCTTACATCTTAGACACAGTGTTGATATGACTTTGTTCTTCTTAAAATCAGTTTCTCTATCAACTGTTAAAGTCTTCTCTTAAAAAATTTCTCACCCCGTATAATGAAATAGAAAAGATACGATATAACAAAGATTTAATAATACTGAAATTCTTTTGAGATAATAGTCGATACAAGAAAAAGTACTACACAATTTAGAAGGAAGCATAAGAGTGAAAGTAAAATTTTATCTCGTATATATTATTCAGTATTATCGCTTCTGTATAATCGTATCCATTAATTTGTGTTACATAGGCTCATGCAAAAATTCGTCATAGGTATAAAGGAAATGTGTGCTTGTTTAGAATACAAAACAGCTGTTAGCTAAGTTAGTTAGTATGGTGGGTTATAGGTATCTACTTTCTACTATACTTTTACAGCATCTCTACCATTGGATTTCGATATTCTTTAAAATTATAATTTTGTTGGCGGCGATATTTGTGGCAAAATCTGGCTACGCAAAGTTAAAAACCTTTTTTTTTTAATATATATAATAAAACCTACTTTTTTAATGAAATAAATGAAATGCTTTCTATGCTAGAGATAACAATGAACGAAACTCAATAAAACTCAGTATTAATAGATTGTTGATATATTATTTATACCATATAATGAAAAAAATCATCAGTATATACAGGTATGTATATATATATATATATATATATATATATATATATATATATATATATATATATATATATATATATACATATGTACAGGTATACATATACAGGGTTGTTCACCACATACGACGCGGAATATTGTAGCTAAACGATTAGATTTTTACAAATTGTAAGTTTTGGGTTCGTTGAAGGTGTATTAGAGCTACAATTTAAAAATATTTTTACAAGATAAGAGTGTCCCAAATAAGTAAAAAATGTTATAGTTGTATTTTTTTAAATGGAACACCTTGTATATTATTCTATTTTTAGATTCTACGGTTGAAATAAATGTAAATTTGATTAAGGTTTATCACACTTAAACCTTACCGTTTTTGAAATATTTTCAATTTTATGAAATTGCTGTAAAAAAATTAAGGCTTTATTTCTCCAAGGGTATCAAAGTTTTTAATACTAAATATTTACTGAAGATTATTTATTGATCAGATATTGTGTTGCAATAATAAAAATTTTACTACCTTATACAGAGTGTCCAGAAATTTATATTAAATAATTACTAGCTTTAAACGGCAATAACTTGTTTAATTTAAATAGAACACCCTATATATTTTACGTGAATCAGATGCACAATGTAATTGTCTATCAAATTGTATTATACCATTTTTTACCTATTTCTTCAAGTTTTCGTAGAAAATGCATTTTCTTATAATTTAGACCTCATTTATCACTATACCCATGAAATATTGACATTTTAGATTATTTTTAAAGATGTAACAAATTTTCAAAGAGTACAGATACTACTATTGTCGATATAGTTCGCTTATTTCATTAAAAAATAAAAAAAAAACTGTTTAAATATTGTTTGTTAAAGAGGACCAATTAATATGATCCCAGTATTCAAACTACATTAATTGACTGTTTACATTTATTAATAATAATTGCTCCAAATACTAAAAAACTGAATTTTGTGTGTGTATTAGGCAGTGTTGTAAAAAGTAACACTTTATAAATTTTATTTCATTTTTTGACGAATGCTTGTTTATAAAAACAGAGACGTTCATTTTCATAACTTATTATTATATTGATTTCTGAGCCAAATTCACATTTATTTAGAATATTATATTAATTAAAACAATTTAAAAGTATGTAATTGACTAATTTTTGGTCGGAAATAATGGTGGTATGTATATTTAATTAATAAATTAATAAATTTAATTAATTTAATAGGTATACTCTTTCACAAAGATTTAAATATTTTTTTTTGTATACCAATGGGCTTGCAATACATTTTGTACATATATGTTGCTTTAAAAAAATCTGAAATGTCAATATTCCATGGGTATAGTGATAAATGAGGTCTAAATTATAAGAACTATTTTCTACGAACACTTGAAGAGATGGGTAAAAAATAGTATAACACAATTTGATAGACAGTTACATTGTGCATCTGATTCACGTAAAATATATAGGGTGTTCCGTTTAAATTAAACAAGTTATTGCCGTTTAAAGCTAGTAATTATTTAATATAAATTTTTGGACACTCTCTATAAGGTGGTAAAATTTTTATTATTAAAACACAATATCTGATTAATAAATAATCTTCAGTAAATATTTAGTATTAAAAACTTTGATACATTTGGAGAAATGAAGCCTTAAAATTTTTACTGCAATTTCATAAAAATGAAAATATTTCAAAAACGGTAAGGTTTAAGTGTGATAAACCTTAATCAAATTTACCTTTATTTCAATCGTAGAATCCAAAAATAGAATAATATACAGGGTGTTCCATTTAAAAAAATACAAGTATAATATTTTTTACTTATTTGGGACACTCTGTATCTTGTAAAAATATTTTTAAATTGTAGCTCTAATAGTCCTTCAACGAACTCAAAACTTACAATTTGTAAAAATCTAATCGTTTAGCTACAATACTCCGTGTCGTATGTGGTGAACAACCCTGTATACAGGGTGGTACGAACTGTATTCCGGGAAACTTCGGCAGCATATTCTGCAGATAAAATTCAGTAAAAATGTTCGTATAAATGTATGTCCTAAAATGCTTAGTTCCGGAGATACAGGGTGTAGAAGTTTCATTTTTATTTCGATTTTTTCCAAATAATTTCTGAAGTAACGTCAATATTTCGATGAAAATTGGTGGCTGGGAGTTTTTTATCATGAGAAATTTGATTTTGATGTCAATATGACTCCTACTAGTAGAGAGCGCCACCTACATATTTTTTAACTGGTTTGAAGAGTAGTACCTTTTCGTCCGTACCTGTATAAAACTACTAAGTAAAAAAATATACATTTACGACGTTTTCCACGTGAAAAAGGTCTCTTGGTAAAAATCGAGATGAGTAATGGTTTTCGAGATATCTGGAATCTAAATTATCAATACCTGTCATCATTGACATAAATTAGACGTGTTGATTTGGTTAGGTTAGGTTAGGTAATATTAGACTGAAATCATAAATTTGAAATATTTTGTGCTAAAAGTTCAACAGAAACTGTTTTATCGTCATTTTTTGCAGAAAAACTTATGATTAATTTAAAAAAATAAAATTTTCCCAAATTTATTATTTCAGTGAAATAACTATCTACTCAACGTGTTTATTTTTGGTCACTAATGACATGTATTGACTATTGCCATTGTAAATATCTTGAGAACGGTTGCTCGTAGCGATTTTTACAAAAAGATATTTTTGACGTAAAAAATCATAGAGATGTAAATTTTTCACTCGGTAGTTTTATACAGGTAAGGACAAAAAGTTATTATGCTTCAAAACAGTCAAAACATATGTAGGTGGCGCCCTCTACTAGTAGGAATCATATTGACATCAAAATCAAATTTCTCATGTCAAAAAACTCCCAGACACCAATTTTCGTCCAAATATTGACGTTACTTCAGAAATTATTTAGAAAAAATCGAAATAAAAATGAAACTTCTACACCCTGTATCTCTGAAACTAAGCATTTTAGGACATACATTTATACGAACTTTTTTACTTATTTTAATGTGTAGAATATGCTTCCGAAGTTTCCGGAATACAGTTCGGACCACCCTGTATAGACTATTTTAGTTTGGTATTTTGTTTCTTCACATTTAGAAACAGTGGCTGTTGAAAACGGGAAAATCTTGGACACAATTTGCTGAAAATGTTTCGATACATTTCCTCTGAAACTTTTGATTCCGAATCGAAACATTTTGTGGCATACCGTTTCCATTTTGTGTCAAGAAACAGACACAACTATTAGAAATGTTACCTAAAAAGTGTCCAAAAATACTACTTGAGAATGAATAGGGAAATTAACGATAATTCTTAGTGTTCTTTTTTGAGCTTTCGGTTTTTAATTTATTAATTGAAAGCTTATACAGGGTCCGGCAATAGTGCGTCGGGCATCTGT